TAATCATGACGTATGATCCTTTTAATGAACTGTTGAATTTAGTTTCATAATGTTGAGAGATTTTTGCATCAAGGATTTGAGCCTATAATTTTCTTTTTTGTGTGGTATCTTTGTCTAGTTTTGGTATAAAGGTAATACTGACATCTTAAAATGAATTTGGTATCATTGCCTCCTTTTAGTTTTGGGGAATACATTGAGATTGGTATTCTCTTCTTTGAGTATTTGGTAGAATTCACCATTAAAACCAACTCATTCTGGACTTTTGTTGACAGATTTTTAATTACTGATTTAAGTAATTAATCAGTTTTTCTATTTTCTTCATGATTCATCTTTGCAAGTTGTATGTTTCTAAGAATTTATTCATTTCTTCTAGGTTGTTCTATTTGTTGAAGGATAACTTATAGTATTCTTTCATGATACTTTGTGTCTGTATGTTATCAAATGTAATGTTCCCTCTTTTATTTATAATGTTTAGCCCTCTCTTTTCTGGGCCAGTCTAGTTAAAAGCTTATCTATTTTTTAAAAATTCCACTTTTATTGATCATTTCTCCTGTCTTTTTAGTCTATTTCATTTATTTTCAGTATGATCTTCATTATTTACTTCCTTCTAACTTCGGGATTTCTTTTTCTAATGCCTTAACATATTTCTTTGAGCTCATTTTTTGTAATGTAAATGCTTGCACTTTACATTACAAGTACAAGGGCCTCCCCTGGTGGCTCAGCAGTTGAGCGCTGGGCTGCACAGCTGCCCACAGCCTCTGCAGCGCCAGTTCAATCCCCGGCTGCTGGCCAGGGTCCCACATGGCACGCAGACCTCTCCTGCCCACTGCTCCCCTCAGGAGTGTATTTCAGTCCTTCTGCCTGTTCTGTTCCCCGCTCTGGCTCTGGAGATTTCTCTCACCATCCCGTGCTTCTGACTGTACCCAGTGCTTGTATAAATAAATAAATGAATCTTTAAGAGTAATTAATTAATTGATGTGTATCTTAGAACTATTTTTGCTCCAACCCATGTTTTGGTATATTTCCAAATTATTTTTTTTTTTTGGTATTTTTATCTTTCCTTTGACCCAGTGGTTGCTCAGGAGTTTAATATCTTCATATTGGTGATCCTTTCAAATTTTTTCTTCTTGTAATTGATTTCTAATTTCATATTTTTGTGGCCGGAAAACAAGTGAGTTCACTGTTGTTAAATTTACTGAATTGTTTTGTGGCCTAACAAATAACTCCTCCTGAAGAATGCTGTTTGCACTCGAAAAGAATGTATAACTGATGTTGTTAGATGAAATTCTCTGTAAATATCTGAGCTATATGTAACACACATGTCATTTACAGCAATGTTTTCTTACAGATTTTCTCTGGATTATGTACCCTTTGATGAACGTGGGGTATTTAACTCTCCTACAATAATTGTATTACTAATTCTGTCTTCAGATAAATGTTAATAAAAGTAGTTAACTACTTTTATTAACTACTTCTGCTAGCTGTATATTTACTATTAATTTTTTGATACCCTTTATATGATCTCAGTGGTCTCCTATTAGTTTTTGGCTTATTTTATCTAATACAAATTAAGTGATCCTTTCTTTTGTTTTCCATTTGCACAGATTATTTCTTCTTATCACTTCACTTTCAGTCTGTGTCATAAACATGGGTCATGCCTCTAGTGTTGACACTTCCAAGAAGGACCTGAGTAAGGCAATGGGGCAAGGACTGGCAACTATGGCACACAATCATGGTGACCATAATCTGGATGCTTCATAGGTTTCTTGGTGCCCTAGTTCATCATAAAGGGTCCCAACTGGGGAGTTATCAACATGGTGGTAACCTATCAGTTTGCTATCCATGTTGGAATATTTGGGCTTCCTAGATCTGGATATTTGTTTCCTTCCCCAGATTTGAAATTTTCAGCTATTATTCCTGAGCTTTCTGTTCCATTCTCTTCTCTTGAAACACTTAAAAATGCAAATGTTGGTGTGCTTGATGTTGTCCATTAAGTACCTTATTTATTTTCACATTTATTGCTTTTTCTTTCATCTGATTGTATGAATTTAATTGCCCTATCATCTAGTTCACTGATCTTTTCTCCTAAATTTAATCTGCTGTGGAATCTTTCTGGTGGGTCCTGTCTCATTTCTACGATTTCACTTAACTCTGGGAATGAAATATTATCATGTGTGCTAAACATTGTAAAAACATGATCTTATAATACTTTTCCACATCAGTTAGAAAGATGGCTTAAACAGCATTTGAACACCTGCTAACATACCTTTCACCTTAGTTGAGCCCTGAAGTTTGTCAGCATCAGAACTGCAGTCCCTGGGGCTAAGACATAACTTTTGTTGGCAGTAATCCTGACACTCTTGGAAAATTTAAGAATTAGCCTAAGAACAAAAAATCACTATTAAAAAGTCCTATAAAAGATGGACAATAACTAGATGAATACACTTCCCAATATGAGTCTTATATATAACACAAACTAATTATTGTTTGTTAACTGAGGCAAATAATTCCTCATACATAACAGAACCAAAATAAACTTGAAAAAAGTTAATGCATACTGATATTGCTTATAAAGGCAGGTGTCAAATTTTCAAATTACTAAATATGACTAGCATGCATTTCAAAGTTAAAACGAACATTTCTTCCAATAATTATATTGTTACCTATTGGGATTGCTCTACTAATTAAGGACAGTAAATTTCAAAAGACTTCATTTCACCATATTTGCTGTATTAATTATATTTAACTTGGAACAGATAATTACCTGAGAGTCCTGGAAAGCTCCTGTTTTCATTCTAGAGTCTCAAGAAAAATTAAACTACTCCATAAAACCTATCCTTTTAACCAGAACTTTTCCTGCTAGTCTTTTTTTTTTTTTTTTTCCCTTGAAGGGACATATAATTAGCACCAACTAACTGTAGCTATCATGGAAGGTGTTATTTAGGATACTGGTTAGTGATCAAGTCAGAGAATCAAACCATTGAATTTCTTTTACCTTATGTTCCTCATAAGCAAAAAGAGGACAAGCCTAATGGGTTGTGAATATTGTAATATATGCAATGCACCTAGCTGTAATAATTACTGTCATAGATTTCTCACAAATCTGCCAGTAAATGGTACTGACTGAGCTTGAATCTAAGTTAGCTGAATCTAAGTTGTCTGCAAATGTGTGATCAACTGTACTAGGTTGTAACTTGGATGTTTTCTCCTTTAAGATGTTTTCCCTTATACAACTTTTATTTTCATTGTACAGTCTTCCTATGTATCTTCTAATAATTCTTGTATTTCTTCTAGAAATGGGAAACTGTATCTCTACAAAGTCAAAAAAGCTACCAGGTTATGGTGTTTTGGCAACATTGGGAATTTGAAAATACTGAAGAGCATTTCAGCAGACAATGCAATGTAGGCACTTAAAGATAACAATATGAATATGTCACATCATTTGCTTTTGAATGGCATATACTTAAAACTAGGTAAACTGCCTTCCTTTACTATTTGTTCACTACCTACATTGCTTTTCCTGGTATTAAGAGAAAATATATAGCAGTATCATTAAGCATATACTAGAAAAATGACTGGAATGGCATACTTTTCATTGGTGTTTGACAGTCCATGGTTTAGTATAAAACCAAATATACGTATACTCTATTGGAATATACTAAAGAAAGCCAAGTATTTAAAAGTTGTTGTTCTGAAGACGAAGAGTTCCTCAAAGCACTTAGGGTCAGTCGCCTGTATTTTTTAGATCATTGACATTGCTTTAGAGAAGCAGTACTTTTTATGTTTTAGCAATTTGTTGCCAATTAGTTGTTTGTCCTCATTTCTAGTTTTTCGACTCCCTGGCTCTTAAAGTATTATCCAATCAGTAGAGCAAGTTCTGGGCAAAACTTTAAAAAACCTGCCAAAACAGTTCCTGCTCACTCCTTCCTGGTTGGTCTATACATTGTTAGACAATTTGTTAGCAGCAAAATCAGGCATATGACCCAAGGCAAGCACTGCTCTTCAACAGGCTGTTCCCTTTCTGTTTCTTTTTAATCTGCCTCTTTGCATGGTAACTGATTCTTTCTTTCTAGTTACTGTTTTATTTCATTTATTAAATAAAATGAAGTAAGCCAAGTATAAGGCTACACATTTTCCATTTAGCATATTTACCCACCATGCATTGGTACCTAATACATGCCTGGGATAGACTAAAACTCTCTCTATACTCTTAGAGGTTATGAAAGAAATAGGCTGCCTGAATTTGCTGGTGAGGTTAGGGACATACCTATCAGTCAAGATTTCTGGTTACAAACTTCAGCAAAAGAAAATTTATCAGCAGGCTCATAGGGAGCCACAGAATCAAAGACAGGCTACAGACTCAGGTCAGGTAACTATATCCCCCAAGAAAGGTCACATGGCAGAAACATCACCAATAATCCCTCCTGAGAGTGTCAATTAAGATTCACAAGTTTTTTAAAATCAGTATTTAGGGAGAGTGGTCAAATATAAGAGCAGAAATCAGAGGCTTATCCCATCATACAGAAGTATCAAGAACATAAGAATACATTTTTAAAAAGGACACTTCCCCTTAAAAAAATTCATTAACAGAAAATAATTCAAATAAATGAGGCTGACTGATAACACTCAGTGTGAAGACATGTAAGGTAAAATTTGTGTTACCCTTTAAAATCTTCTATGTATAAACAAATGTAGACTTTGGAAATTATTTTTTCCATAGGCTTTGGAATTGATTTTAATATTGATTTTCCCCTTTCCAACTTTCAATTCAACAGACTGCCATGTTAACTTTTACAAGGCAGTCTTTATTTGCTATTAGAACTAACATTTTAAATCTCAATGATCAAAGTATCTTTTTTTTTTTTTTAAAGAGGCATGTATTTTTATTTATTTATTTGTTTGTTTTGTTTTTATACATGCATGGGTACAGTCAGAAGCACGGGAGGGTGAGAGAATTCACCAGAGCCAGAGCGGGGAGCAGAGCAGGCAGAAGGACCGAAGTACACTGCTGAGGGGAGCAGCAGGCGGCAGGAGAGGTCTATGCGCCATGTGGGACCCTCCTCCAGTGGCCGGGGAGCAGCCGGGGATCGAACCAGAGCCGCAGAGGCTGCAGGGAGCTTCACAACCCAGTGCTCAACCGCTGCGCCACCGGGAAGGCCCTGATCAAAGTATCTTTATCCAAATCTCCATTGAAATGTAAGCTAGAAAATAAGGGGAAAAAATAAACTTCCTTTATAGCATGTAAATTATCCCTTAAAATTTTAAACAATTCATTTTCTAAACTATTACCTGACTACCCAGAAATATCTTCCCCCGCCCAGAGTTCACCACAAATAATATTTAGGGAATGAGATACTCTCCACAATAAGTGAATTTTCCTGCCAACTGAAAGGGTAAAATTAATGTTTAAAATATGAATACCCCCTTGTCTTTGTGGAGTAAGTACACTACCTCAATTCAGCCACAGCTATCCCCAAACCCTAAAGCTCTCCACTTTTCTCCCAATTCAAAAATTCATTGCTGGGTTTTATGTTGTCACACAGCCAATCCTACTAGGTGGTAGCCTTGAAATGACTATTTTACATGTACTGAGTGACTTACAAAAAATACAGAGTTGGTCATATTATCTCCATTTTTCAGATGAAGAGAGCAAGTCAGAGGTTGAGGGTCACTAAAGTAACTTGCAATCATCTGGACTTTTGAAGACAGGATCTGTGTGGCGCTGGGTAAATCTCTTCTAATGGTATGTAAATGTATGGAAATTTTGTAGACAAACTTGAAAGAACATAAATCTCTCCATCTTCTAGATGTGTGACAAAGAGTAAGTTACCAAAAACCTAAAATTTTCCTATCTATAAAATGAGATATTGTAAAATAGGCCAGTCCTTCTCAAACTCCTTTCTACAAAATAAAACATCTTGCTAAGATTTCTATTTTTAAGAAATGGGGATTTTGGGGCCTCCCCTGTGGCGCAACAGTTGAGTGCTGGGTGGCGAAGCTGCCCACAGCCGCTGCAGCACTGGTTTGATCCCCAGCTGCTGGCGAGGGTCCCACATGGAGCACACATCTCTCCTGCCGTGCCCGCTGCTCCCCTCAGGAGTGTATTTCGTCGGTCTGCCTGTTCTGCTCCCCACTCTGGCTCTGGTGAATCCACTCACCCTCCCGCGCTTCTGACTGTACCCAGTGCTTGTATAAATAGATAAATAAATCTTTAAAAAAAAAAGAAAGAAAGAAATGGGGATTTTGTAGGCACTTTTACAAGGTTTTATAAAAATGTGACTTTCAAACCTTACACTGTCCTTAAACTACAAATATAAGAATTTAGGTAGAGAGTGTTTGGACAGTTTTATATTTTTGTGTTATAACTGTCCAGTAGAGATCTCAACCAGATAAACTGAAACAACAGTAATCTAAAGCATTGTACCATGCCACCTCTAGGGATGGTACAAAGATTTCAATAAAGGACAACTCAACTTGGTGATACAATTAAGTTTAGAGTTGTGGGGGATAAAAGTGGTATTTGTGTTCACAGTTTATGAGATCTGGGGTCTCACAATACTATGAAATCCGGACAGTTAAGAGAACTTCCTGGATGTTAAACGTGAGCTGCAATTTCAGTTCTTCATTTCAAATTGCTCTATTTTCCCCAAAATTAATCACTCAATACAAAAGCATAGCAGAAAACTTACCTCCTAATCGTATGTACCTTTAAATGTGTTTAAAATTTAAACATTAATTCACCAAACTTGAACAAACATGAATAAAGTCTGTAATAAAAAGTCAAGAAATTTTACATATCTTCGATTACATATATTATTCCCCCTAATTATTACATCAATACTGTTTTCACGTGAGTCTTACTCTACAAATAAGAATGAAAAGGCATACACTGGAATACAGGTCTTGGAACAACCCAATGAGCAATTCACTTTTTTAGTATCTAATACCGAAATAAAAATTTAACCATTACTTTATATGGTCTAAAGAATCTGTAATTCCAAATTCCATCCAAAAAAAAAATATGAAAACTGAGTTACTTATTTAAAATGATTAAATGTAAAAATATATATCTTCCTTGACATCTAATGGATTTATGGCCTGATAAATGCATCGTATGTTGAAATATCATTAGGTGGAAAATACTGGACTAAAGACAGGTTGCCTTAGTCTGTGCCCAAATGGTATGCTAATTAAGAAAAGATCCAAGAATTATGTTTTGCCTATGTCTCCCAGAAAATAGGAATCTCTGGTGGTCTGGGAGGTGGAAGACAGCCTTGCAAAGTCGTTTTGGATGCATCTATAGATAAGCCTTGCATAATTCCTTTTCTTTAAATTGCAAAGCTCTTTATTCTGTTTACCCTCCTAAATTTATTGTCCCATTTCTAGCAACATAGTGAACCTTATATATCTATTGTTTACCCACCTTACTACATGGCTAACTGCAACTTGCATCTTGTTGCCACTGCCCAGAATAAACAGAGTATTGTACAGCATATCACTAGCCTGGGAAAAGATCAAAATTCAAAACTTCAAAGTGCACAGCTTCTACTGAATCATTGTATAGCTGAAACCACCATAAAGTCAAATAATTGTTAAGTACATAAAAAGTTGGGGGCTGTCTGTAGAAACATGAAGTATATTTTCTTTAAATACAGCTCCTGCCACATTAGTATGTGTAAGGGAAGTTATTTTTCTTCCATGTAACTGATAAGTCAGACACTTGCTTAGTATCTTTAAATAATATATAGGCCCGTGGATTAGAAAAGTTTATATGCAAATAATGTATAGATGCTCTACCCACAAGTTTGATTTTCCAAAAACAATTAGGTATTATTTAAAAGAAAACCAAAGGAACTTTTAAAGGCAATGGACTCCTCTGCTTCTGAATTATTGCTAAACTGAAAAAATTAAGTTTGTGCTACAAGGAATCTCAAGTTAGAAATGAGTATTCGTTCAAGTGGAAGTTATAAGAGTATCATGCCATTACAAGAAAAGAGTATTCAGCTCTCACCCCAAACATTCACACTGCCTACCAGAACAGTTTAACTAGGTCAAAACAGCCCAACATACTTAAGCTTCTCCTAATAATAAACCAAAAATATATCAAAATCTAGAGATATTACCTGTGGCTAATTTTCATACAGATTATTACTTCCTTATTGTATCCTCCCTTCTATAACATTAATAAAGGGAATGTTTTACTGCCAAGAAAATTTTATTTTTGTACATCACTAGCCATGAAATTTCTGTCATCAATTATTACACAAATGCTGCTAGTGCTGTTATACAAATGGCATGTCCACCCACAATTCACTTCTGTAATCTCAAACTGAATTTTCATAATTACATGAGAATATTTATCAGAGAAGGATTAACAGTGAGATGAGTATAGAATTCACAACTGATGTTTTCCAGATAGCAATGTAGATGTATTTTTAATCACCTTTCAGTTGAGTGACCATAAAAAATAAATCAATAATTTAGAAATTCTAAGTCTCCAAAGGAGGTTTTCAAATGCACTTTTGAAAAATGCTTCAGTAAGGTTTTTAAGAAGCATCTTCCATGTCCACATCTTCTTGTAATTTCTGCACCATTTTTTCTTCCAGCTGCTTTCCTTTACCTATAAAGAAAAAATAAACAATTCAGTGTGATCTTGCAGTAAGCATATAAACAATTTATGAAGAATCTTGGATGTTTTAAAATAACAGACATTTCTAAAAAATTAAAGAATAACAATGGAATCATTCGTGTGTCCCCATACTGACTACTAACCACAGTTTCAGCCTTTCCCAAGAGTGGAATCCTAAACCTGAATCTAGAGTTTCTTGGCTAACACTAGTGGGGTAACCTACATAAGAACTCCCTGTTCTTCCCTGAGGGAAAGTGGCTCTGCCTAAAATACTTTTCTTTTACTAATAATAACCTTTTCCCACTCTCTTTCAGTTATAAAAACATTCCATTATTGTGGAAACCCTTACAGAATCCATGTGCTAAATGGGATAGTGCCTAATACTGAATTTTTTTAAAAAAGATTTATTTATTCATTTTACACAAGAACCGGGTACAGGCCAGAGTTGCAGGAGGGTGAGAGGATTCACCAGAGACAGAGTGGGGAACATAACAGGCAGACTGACGAAATATACTGCTGAGGGGAGCAGCAGGCGCAACAGGAGAGGTATGCCACGCCATTTGGGACCCTCATGGGCCGGCTGGGATAGAATCCATGGTGCAAAGTCTGCGGACAACTTCACAGCACAGCACTTAACCGCCTGCGCCACCAGGGGAGGCCCAATACTGAATCTTTTACTAAAGCCAATTAGAACTCTAAACTTGTAATATACAACTATACATTATAATTAAAATCTAAATAGGTCTGAGTTATAACTATACATTATAATTAAAACGTCAAAAGTTACAGATGAATATAAAATCTAAAAAACGAGAGATAAACAACTTGTTACCTATAAGGCATTAAGCAGATCTGTCAAACTTTGCAGACCAGAAGAGACTGATGCGGTATACTCAAAGTGGTGAAACGAATGACGCTAAGAATACTTTAAGGCAAGGTTATTTTAAATTGGAGAGAAAAGGAGCTTTCCAGATTAAAACCTAAAGTAATGGATCACCAGTAAATCAGCCTTACAAGAAAGATTAAAGGGACTTCTATAAACTAAGAAGAAAACATGGAAAGGAAAAAAAAAAAATCTCACTGATAAATGTAAACATACATTAAAAGTAGTGGATTAATTGCATATAAAAATTATATGAAAAAAAAGACAAAAACAAAACCAGAATAATCACTTAAGGGATGCATAAAGAGTTTTGGAAAAAAGACATCAGAAACAAAAGCACGGGGCACAAAAAAGACTTAGAATGAGTTTGGAATTAACTTTCTATTAATTTAAAAGAAAATATAATATATGGGCCTCCCCGGTGGCGCAGCAGTTGAGCACTGGGTTGCGAAGCTGCCCGCAGCCTCTGCAGCGCTGATTCGATCCCCAGCTGTTCCCTGGCCACTGCAGTAGGGTCCTACATGGCGCGTGGACCTCTCCTGCCGCCCACTGCTCCCCTCAGCAGTGTACTTCGGTCCTTCTGCCTGTTCTGCTCCCCGCTCTGGCTCTGGTGAATTCTCTCACCTTCCCGCACTTCTGACTGTACCCAGTGCTTGTATAAATAAATAAATAAATAAATCTTTTAAAAAAAATTGGAAAAACTCAAAAAAAAAAAAAGAAAATATAATATACATAGGATGGTATATGAACTTCTCATGGTAACCTCAAAATAAACATCTATAATAACAAAAGAGGTGCTCAGGAACTGCTATGTTCACTAAAACATTATTTACTAGAGTCAAGATATGAAACAGGGCCTCCCCGGTGGCGCAGTGGTTGAGCGCTGGGTTGTGAAGCTGCCCGCGGCCTCTGCAGCGCCGGTTCGATCCCCGGCTGTTCCCCGGCCACCGGAGGAGGGTCCCACATGGCGCGCGGACCTCTCCTGCCGCCCACTGCTCCCCTCAGCAGTGTACTTCGGTCCTTCTGCCTGCTCTGCTCCCCGCTCTGGCTCTGGTGAATTCTCTCACCCTCCCTCCCGCACTTCTGACTGTACCCAGTGCATGTATAAACAAAACAAACAAACAAACAAATAAATAAAACATGCCTCTAAAAAAAAAAAAAAAGATATGAAACAACCTAAATGTCCATCAATGGAAGGATGAATAAAGAAGAGGTGTGTATAAATATATGTGTGTCTTACACAACAGACTACTTATTCAATCATAAAAAAGTAAATCTTGCCATTTGCAGTAACATGGACGAACCTTGAGGGTATTGTGCTAAGTGAAAGACAAATACTGTATGACTTCACTCACATGAGAGCATAAAGAATCAAGGCAAATAAATAAATCAAACAAAAATTAGCTCTTATATACAGAGAACAGATTCGTGGTTACAAAAGGGGAAAGCAGCTGGAGGTAGGTGACATGGATAAAGTGGATCAACTACATGAGGATGCATGAAACTAGACTTTTGCTGGTGATCTTGATGTAGCATAAACATCATAATGCTAATCACCTAAAACTTATATAATGTTATAAACAAATACCACCTCAATCAAAATTTATTTCAAAAATAATAGTAATTAAAGAAAACCAAGTCATATCATGTATGTACTATGAGAGATAACATTTAAATAAAAAACTATTCACCCTCAGAAGTTGGCTTGGTACGCAAAAACATTCCACAAAAGTCTAGATTTTTCACCCCTCTACTTAAAGCAGAGAACTACTACGCAATGCAGTACTTACCTGCAAGAGGGGCTCGGATAAGATGGATGTTTTGCTTGACTTCTTTGATGTCCTGAACTTTCTGTAGTTCTTTATTTTTCTTTAACCTAGAATACAACATATCAAGGCCAAAATGTCACTAAAACTTCTTTAAACAGCAGTTTCTTTAAACAACAACAAACCTATAAAAATAAGCTTTATTAAGTTGCCCTCAGAGATGGGGAATGGGAACTCAAATCATTTTCTAGTTACTAATCTGCTACCATGAGTTCATGCATTGTATTCCTAGTGCCTAGTTGAGAATGAAATGGGGACTCAACATATACTTGAATAAAGGAATGTATTCAGTCAAAGAATTAACAAGTTTTATACATCAATGACTTTTATACACATAACAGTGCATATCTCTGATTTTGTAGATCTTTTCGCCTCAAATAGAGAACACACTAATTGTTTTAATCATTGAGTAATTACAATAGCATAAAACACATAGTAACAAAAATGCTAATAGACTAGTTCTCAAACATTAGTTCTCTTTAATGTAATGCTTTAACTTTTTTTTTTTTCAAGCCAGAAAACAGTTGGCACACGCTGCTTTTCTATGATAGACTTTGAATTTGATTAGAGCAAAATATCATGCTCCTGCTCTAAAAGATTTATTTCTTCACAGGAGATGTATATAAGATGAGGCTTTAGAATATCTTGTTAGCCATAAAGCAAGAAAGCACTCAAAGAATTATGAGAACTTGTCAAAATGACATGGGAGCCCACTGGCCAAAGTAAGGCACTCGGAACCATTAAAATAAATAATTAGAACTGAGTTCTATAAGAATCAGTGAATACAAATAGACATGATATAAATAAATGAACAAATTTTGAACTTGGAGAGGAGCTCTTTCTTAGGTGAGAGCATCAATAAATGTAGAAGAAATAATGAAATCAGAAAAATTATTGTTTGGCAACAATCACAATAGTAACAGATTCAGACAAGACTCTAATGGATCCTAAAACCAGCGAGTACTAGTTTGAGGAGTAATGGGATCTGGATATCTCCCCCAAGAAACACAATAGTTAAAAAAAAGGGTGAAAGAAAAGTTTCCAGTGGTGAGAACTGGCAGACGCCACTTAAACTAAGTAAGCAAAGATATCATCAACAGCAGGAAACAGACATACCATCTCTTCTACAATATTCTGGCTAAAGGTACTCAACATAAATTTAATTATGAGGAAAACATAAATTGTCCCAAACTGAGGGACATTCTATAAAATAACTGATTGTACTCTTCAAAAATGTATTATTTAAGACAAGGATGATGAGAAACTGTCCCGATTAAAAGAGCTTGAAGAGATATGAATATGAAACACAATGCATGATTCAGGATTTTGTTCGTATGAAGTACATTATTGAGACAATAAGTGAAATGTAAGTAAAGTCTACAGATTATGTAACAGTATTGCACTGATGTTAGTTTCCTGACTTAGATAACTATAACTGTGGTTACATAAGAACATGTTATTTTTAGGATAGGTACACTGAAGTGTAGGAGGGACATCTGTTCTTGAACTTACTCTACATAGAGAGAGGTAAAGGTGACAGTGTTAACAATATACAGTGTTCTTTATATTTTTCTTCCAAGTTTTTTTTAAGTCTGAAGTGTAAAAATAAAAAGTTTACAAAGCACAAATGGCTACTGATTATTTTTACTTCACAGTCTCTTTTGGGGAAAATTACTCTGTTCAGAAAACCAACTAAAGCAGATGAAACAAATGAATTAGAAAAATATTCATACCTGTTCATTATAAATTTAGCTTGGCGTTTCTGTTTGATCTCTTCAACTCTCTTCATTGCATCAACTACAAAAAATTCATAAAAGTTAGAATACTCATGCACAGTCAAGCAGAATGACTCTAAACAAGTGCTTTAGCCCTTCTTTATTCTGATTTAGAAAGAGATTAAATAAAAAATTCATTGCAAAAACAATCCCTACACTAAAATGGCTAGAGAAGGTATGTATTTTTGGCTGACATCAATGCTGACTATATTTCACAAGTACTATTTATTTTTACTTGGCAAAAATCTTAACTGCTACTCAATTTTCCTTCTACTTTTAAAACTCTCTTTTTCAAATTTTATTTTTCAGAGAACTTAGATTTAAGTAGCAATTAATCCTATTCTTAATGTATTGATTCCTTAAAGACAGAAACCTTCGAGTCACCAAGAACAGTTTTCCTTAAAGTGTCTGGAATACATGATGAATAATGACAATAAGAGCAAATTCCAACTGTTTTGAATGAGACAACTTAACTATAAGAAGCTCAGTCCAATTATGCTTTATAATCTGTGTCAACATTGATCAGTATAAGACAAAGCACATATGTAATTTTAAATTTGCTAGCAGTCACATTAAGAAGAAAATAAGAAAAAAATGAACATTTTTTAAATTAAATTTCATGACATATTTTGTCTAATCCAACATATACAAAATATTGCCATTTTACATGTAATCAACAAAAAAAATTACTGAGATGTTGTTTCTTTTTCATACTAAATCTTCAAATTAAAAGATATAGTTTATGTCAGAATTAAAAATTTTTCTAAGTGTAGTCTGGGGACCAGTAGTATTAGCATTACCTGGAAACTTACTAGAAATACAGAATGAAAGGCCCAACCACAATATAATGTATCAGAATCTGCATTATAACAGCATCCCTCAGGAGGCACTATGGGGTTTCTGATATTAAGATGGTCTTTGTGTGAATAGCTCTAAGACAATGCCAACTCTAAATCTGCATAAGCTGTAGCTTAGATTTAATAACTGATGAATATTTGGGTTTTGTTTTTTGTTTTGCCTTCAGCAGAAATATAGCCACGTTATTTATAGTACTCAAGTATTTCCACACCTTAAAGTTACTAGGGAAATAAACACACAAAGGACAGATAAAATCCTTTCCAAAGGATAAAACACTGCTTTTCTTAATACTCCAGAAGACCAAAAAACTTTAAACAAACAAAAAAAAATTGCTAAGTATTAAACAGTGATCTGCATGCAATACAGACATAGGAGATAAAACACAATCTCTCTTTCTTTTCAGAAATTAATTATTCTTCTACTTAATGAAACAGAATGGAAAGAACTTACTTTAAAAAAAATTCAGGGGGGAGGGGTATGTGCACAAAAACAAAACCAAGGGATAGAATATTTAAGAGTCATGTGGAATAGGTAATTCTAAAAACCTGGACTAGATTTCTCCAAATGATCCAGGATGATAAAGTTTTAGAGGGTGTCAAACAGTACTACAAAGGTCCACAACTTAGATTCCTCCCCTTAAGTTATCTGATTGACAGGGGGAAATGTGTTGAAACAGATATCTGCCAACAATCTATTAGAGATTAATAAAATTTGCAGAATTCAAAGCTTCAGGGCCATCTAGCCAACAAACTAGGTATCACCTCCTCTAAACACACATACACCAGACTAAAAAAGGCTAATTAGGCTGCCTTGTTGTGGAGTGAAGGAGTAAGGCCAAGGTCCTCTAACACACACAGACATGCTACTAGAAAATTCAATTTTAACACCTTTTTTTTTTTTTTTTTTTAAATAAAGTCCCTGCCTACTTGGGGCGGGGAGGCTGGGGGAAGAGAACATAAGATATTACTGCTTTTAGTTTTAGTAACCAATAGCTTCATTTTTACCTAAGTCAAGTACTTAGAAATTTTCTAGAAAATTTGTGATTATCACTCTTTTAGTACTACATTTTTTACCAAAACACTAACTTTTGTAAAATATGCAGAATACATCTTTCATATCCTCGAGTCAAATTATCTAAACTTGTAAAGGATGTTAGATTTTGTGTATATTTAAACTATGCCACACTCATCCAAAGTAAGTATCCCCCATTATTTCTATCTTTGTTGAAATTTTTTGATTTTTTTCTTTTTAATCTGTCTGACTACTTCAAATATCAAATTAATACATAATTATTTTTACAATGGATACATCAATCAATTCTGAGAAAGATTTTGGGTTACTTATAATAAAAGACATAAATAAGACAGAACCATTAAAATGAATTCAAAAGAATAAACATGAATCAATGACACGAGAAGAAATGTAATATTTAAGCAACAAACTGACATTAAAGTTACAGTAACATCCCACCCGAGTCTCTCCCAAATTTTCTGGGATACCCTTGTGACTTACTAGTTTTATTCCACAGCTCTCGCTGGTATTTGACAGGTTCATTTCTACGTTTTTCAAATTCAAATGAATTATCCTGTAAGGGGTGCAAAATACAGTTTAAGAGCAATAGAATGCATTTCTTTAAACCTATCGTTCTTTTCAAGGAGTTCCCAGTATTTCACACCTTGGACATATATTAAGATTCCCCACACACACACCCCAAGTAAGCAGAGAATACAAGTTTGCAAACCTCTCCTCCTTTACACAGCATGATATACAAGACAACACAACTGAAAACATCCCTATATATGAGTGACTCAAAGGATGGAGAAGAAGAAATACTACTCCTACTTCTCAGAGGGGTATATAACAATCGTGGGCATTATAAACAAACTGAAAAGTTTCCCTTATTTCCCATGCCCAGATGAGACACATCCAAAAAAATTCACTAGGGTAAAGCACATAAAAGTGCCTTTTTTCACAATCAGAAAATAAAATATTGAGGGCCGCTCTGGTGGCGCAGGGGTTAAAGTCTCAGCACTACCAAGCTATTGTCAGCCACTTCAGCACAAGATCGATACCCAGCCAGCCAGGGAGCTACCCACATGGCACAGCAGACCTCTCCTATCTCGCCCACTGCTCCCCTCAGCAGTGTATTTCAGTCAATCTGCCTGTTCTGTTCCCAACTCTGTCTCTGATGAATCCACTCACCCCTCCGCACCTCTAGCCTACACCCCAGCTCTTGTACGCATAAATAAAAAATAAAAATCTTTTTTAAAAAATAAAATAATGAGAATTCCATATGGTTCAACCTAAATACCTACTATGCTTATACATTTCAATATCTATATACCTGTGTTAGAGAACACAGGTGTGAAACTACATATCTTCAAATAAATGTGGAGCTACTACACAAGACGTAAGTTTCACCTTGAAATTTTTCAGCTCCTCTCTAAATGAACTTGACATTTTCAGTTAATGTCCTGTTTAATCTTAAAAAAAGAATTTTGGAAAAGTTACACGTTTCCTGGAAAAACCACAGTTTTTCTTTATTTTCATATCTGTCTGACTTCAGTGCTGTCCCACAGCACTTAAGTTAAAGATGCCAACAACAGGCTTCATGGCAACTGCTTAGATACTGTCCTTGGGCAATGGAGAGGTGGGAAAGAGTTCATGAGTTTGAGAGAGGAGAACAGCTGAAATATCTTCTTCCCTCAAAGACGGTCTATGTAGCAGCTTTCACCTCCTCACTTTATGGGGGTCAAATACGGGCAAGCTTCACCAGATCCTTATTCAACAATACGATGATCGGGGCTCACCTCTTAAAATTCCTCACCCCCTGACTATACCTCTTCACACTAACACCATTAACTATCAACTAATTTCTCTGTTCTCAGATACAAATTCCTGTTGAGGAAATCTAAAAATCAATAAATGAATATATTAAAAAATCTCATCCAAGCCCTCACTTCTGTTCGAGAATTCTTTACCTCTTAACTTCCTCCTATAATCCCTGAATAGCAATACCCAGTTTCACCAGCATCTGTTTAGATAATTTACTCCTTTGTTTGCAAGCTAAAAACAGTTTTTTTGAGAAGAATTAGGATTTTTTTTCTTTTTCAGAATTTTATAGAACTCTAGTTTTTAAGACTACGTGAGAATGAAATTAATACATGTTCAATAAATAAGTCACTCATCAATCATGTTGTTAGAAGTCTTGTCATAAATCTGCTGAAATACATATCCTCCCCCCAAATTAAAATTTTGAATGAGTATAGTAAGAACTATACTGATAACTGTACTCACCACTGTAAGCTCTTTACCAGCTGCTTTCCGGAATGCTTTCGTCCACCTAACTTTTCTAGGATTGCGCTTCTTTTTAAAGTTTTTATGACACTTGGATTTACAGAATCTGAATACCTATAAGAAAATTAAGTTAAAATAGTGATAAGACAACCTTAAGGATTTTTCTACTAGAGGATGTTACCCCTACCAGACAACATATACTGTAAAGTATGAGAAATGACAACCGTTCTCACAATTCTTTCCACTTACCCCATTTAGAAGTGTGTGAGGTACACCAGGTACATATAACTAAGGCTAAGGGCCCCCCAAAATAGTTAAAAACTATCATCCTTATAGAATTACAGTAGAACCTTGTAATAATCTAAATGAAGGTAATAATTTTAAGGAAAATAATTTTATTTAAATCCCTTCTCATCTCCAACTAAGTTTCAAAATTCACATTCTATGTAACTCAAATGTGGTAAGTTTCAAGTAATTCTGAAATCTCCTTTCTATCCTTCATGTTAAAAGGACAACATAATTTCAAAAAAGCAATTAAAACTGGCTTATTTCCTAAAGAATTTATTCACAGATATATCGGAATGATTCTTCACTACGTTAGTTCTCCATTTTATCCCAAAAGATGTGGTCCCTAAACAGCACTAACAAAAATTTAATAATGCTTCAATGGACTTCTGAAATGGCTTATTGGGACTCATATTCTAAAGTGCATTATTTTGCTCTTCTATAATGTCTTAGAACACATTAAAATTTGTAGGTATTACTAGAGGAAATCTAAAGGAAAAAAAATCTTGGCAAAGAAAGTTAAGTTAAATAATCACACCTAGAATATGTGACCCATTTTAAAAAAGGTCAAAATGAAGCATGAACATTTCAAATTAAATAAGCATTATGTATATACTGCAAGCCAAAATACTTTTCATTTTATATACACTTTGTTCTATGAAGCAATCCAAGCACGTCACTCACCAAACACACCAAGACATAGTTTTCATAGAAAAGGTCAGTAATAGCTTAATCTCATCTAAGCCTGTACCTCCTGGAGAGTCCTTTCCTCAGGGACTTGAAAGCATGTCTACATTCTTGAATTTATTTCAAAGCAACTAGAAAATAGAATTATTATAGTATAGACAGTAATATATATCCAATGATACAGGTATCTCATATATCCAATGAAAGGTTAGATCTTGTTCTCAATTCCAAATAGAGCGACTGAAACTCCTTTGCCAATAGATGTTATCCGAAAAACACAATGAAGTTTCTGAAGAGACTCTGGTCACTGGAGACATGAAGGGGATTCAATCAGCAAATAAAAACCATCTACTCTCTATCTGACATTGCAATAAATACGAGGAACACAAGAGTAATTAAATAATGAGACCCTACCTTGAGCCACTTAGGCTAAAATGTGATAAAGTCTCACTTCACAAACATGAGAGATGGAGAGCAGACTAGGATATAAATAGCAGGGTAAAACTATATGCAATAATCATGTATAAAGTAATATGGAAACATATGATTAAGGAAGTGATTAAATCTATGTTGGGGTAAGAGGCAGATGGATTATGTGAAAGAGGTTCAATTCCCTCTAGCATCATCATCAGTCTTCAACATGCAAACAAATGACCCAGCTAATACCTCAGCTTCAAAGCTCTTCAATCCCTTTTTATTCCACTTCAACAGACACTTATTAAGAACTCCTTGGGCCTCCCTGGTGGCATAAAGGGTTAAGACGCAACCAATGAAGCTGTCCACAGCCTCTGCAGCACTAGTTCGATCCCCGGCTGGCCAGGGAGCAACCCACATGGTGCAGCAGACCTCTCCTGACTCACCCGCTGCTCCCCTCAACAGTGTATTTCAGTCACTCTGCCTGTTGTGCTCCCCGCTCTGTCTCTGATGAATCCTCTCACCCCGCACACTGGTCTGTTCCCCAGTTCTTGTATGCATAAAATAAATAAATCTTAAAAAAAAAAAAGAACTCCTTAAGGGTGATGTATTATTTTTGTTTCCAAAGTATATGTAAACACGAAGCACTAACACTAACTTTACCCTTAAGCTAGCCAAGAAGTACAAGAGGGGAGGTCTCTAAGAAAGACCATCTCAAAAGCTAAGAGAATCAGGATAGAAAGTTAGGAGTCTATGAAAGCACAAGTCCAAGTGAACAAAGGCAGGAGGGGCAGAAAGAAAGACACCATTATACTTCCGCAGACAGAATGAGAAAGACTTGATAAAAACAAAACACAAATCATTTAAAGGTGACATTCACATTTTTGGCCAAGTTGTCTAGGAAAATGACAGTGGTATTAATTCAAAGAGCAAAAAGATCTGATCTAAAAAGGAATTCTCTTTCAGTAGGCTGTTAGGTACAAAGAAGTTTTCACTATTTCACTTCAGACCTGGAGCTAAGAAGACACAGATTTGGGACCATCAACACAGAACAAACAAGACGCTTATTCTTTATTAGTGCTTTACGGCTTCTATTTCTCATTTCCCAACCTATTTCTCAAACTATTGGTCTTCCCTGAATCAAGTTGGTTCTCAGTCAATTCAACACTGTGCTTCATAGCAATACAGACCTCCTCATCAACTTGAACTTCCACTTAGTCGGCCAGACCACCACCCAATTCCAGATAGCTTCCACTGTCATTCTAATTCCAAAATGCAGGTGGCAAGCTTTGCTGTATAAAAATCATAAACTCCCGATGACAATTACTGCTCACTGCGAGTTAGACCTACTCCTGGCAATCATTGAGTCATTTATATGAAATTTTTATCAGGTTCCTGAGAGCAGGTATTCAAAATCTCCCACATACCTCTTTAAGTTCCCAACATAGTTTTGACCTCTCACTTTAAGCAAGAACCCCTTCTCCTAATTTAATGAGATCAATACCTATGGTTAATAACAGATATAAGATGATAATATAGGAAGCAATTCTTTAGCAAGTCGAAATCACTTGCTCAATATACATCTTTCTAGATCCTCCACCCCTCCCCTCAATGGTTCCAATTCAATAGATCTGGTGGAAAATAAGAATTTGTATTTTCACCAGGGCCCACTTAATCACAAGCAAATATGAAAATGATGTGTTGAGGAAACAAGAGGAATGAGGCGCAAATGAAACTGATATGAGAAGGCAAATCCACGTATCGTTCAGAGTCTTTCACAAGCTGGTCTTACACGTTGACAGGCGCATTATATTTGTATTTCCAGTCCTACCCCAAGCCATCTACAATGCAGTCAATTCCTTAAACAGGAATGTAACTGATACTCTGTGCCTTCAAATTAGTCTCCTGACCCTCCACAACTCACCCTCACAATCTCATCACACACATAAGCCCCAAGCAACATCTATATCAACCTCTCCACACTACGGAGAAGTCCAAGTCTTACTCATCACTATGGACGCAGATTAGCATATATTAGAGGGTGGGGGTGCGTTCAACAAAGGCTACCTAATTCCAGGACTTGGCCACGCACAAGAGTGGCCAAACAGCCCTAAGAGCCCCCGAAGTCCCCCTCGGCGAAGGCTAAGATGGTTCCTGAAACCTCGTCGCTGCCAACGCACCAGGGAGTGCCTGGGACAGCTCTGCTCGGGCAGCGGCATGAAGGCACTCCCCACGCGGGGAGGCTGGGCCCGAATGCACCTCAAGGCCACCTGCTCGGGGGCACAGCCAGGCCCCCAGGCCGAACCCCGCAGGCGTAGCGGAGGCCCGCGCCGAACCGAGCGGCCCAGCGCTCCCGGGAGCGCAGCGAGGCGCGACGCTGGGCTCGGCCGCCTCACCTTGCAGTCGTTGCGGACGAACATCATGCCGTGGCCGGGGTAGATGGGCCCCGAACAGAAATAACACTTCTCGATACGCATGTTGAACCCGCGTGGGTACCAAGAACCCAAACCCCGAACGAACTTGAGAGGAAGTGACGTAGCTCATTCACCGGAAGTGATTTTCTTCCGGGTTTTCTCTCGGGGAAAGCGCCCCGGTCGGAAGGGCGCCTCTCTGCGGCCGCGCGGGCAAAGGAGCTATCGCTTCGCGCAGGCGCGGAAGTGCAGCGTCGGCCTGGCCGCCCCTGCTCTGGGAAAGTGCGTCATGGGAGCGCGCCGCTTTTGAACCTGCTTTCACAGCTGGTTTTCCTCTACCTTATGCTCTAACATGTTTTATGGTTTATTTGTGTGTTGTTTTTTTTTACTTTTCTAGATATCTTTTACTTTTTATTTTAATTTTATTTCATATTTTTTACATCATTTTTCATTTTTGCACAATGTATGCATTTTTCATCTTGGTTGTAGTCCCCACACAATTCCCAACCCCCTTCTTTTGACCCTAATTCGCCCTTCCTTCCCACCTCCCTCAGTGTGTGTCTGGTTTATAGTTGCTTGTTGATTTTGATTTTTACTTTATTATAACATGGAAACAACGCAAATGCCCCAAAATAGATGACTGGAGCAAGAGGATGTGGTACATGTACACAATGGAATATTACTCGGCAATCAAAAAAGATAAACTCATACCATTCACAGCAACATGGATGGAGCTGGAAGGGATCATGCTTAGCGAAATAAGCCAGAAAGAAAAAGAAAAATATCAGATGGTCTTAGTCATAGCAGGAATTTAGAAAACCTAAATAAGCGACCAGGAAAAAGACTAATTATAATAAAGTTTTATGTATCTTGTCTTTGGTTTGTGCTTTGCCACCACACACAGGGCTCCCCACACAGCAGGTGTGTCTAGGAACTCATTCTCCACCACCAGCGCAGACCCTTCACAGGTGTCGGTGTGACTTACATGTTGCTAAGGAAGCAGTTGTGTTTCTGAGCCTCAGTGGATTTTACCAACAGTTTTACAAACTTTTAATTTACCAGACTTGTGGTGTTCTCTACCTTTACTCCTCCCCCCATTTAATTAACACATTTAGGTGGTAAAAACATTTCAGAGAAAAAATTTTGTCTCCCCAAACTTCGGACCTCCTCCCCAGTAGCAATCATTTATTTTCACTACCTACCTAATTATTTTCTGTACCTAGACAAAGATGTTTTTTGTGTCTGTGCGTGTCTCCACTTTCTCGTCTTTATAACTCGAACATCCTGTTCACCCTTTTCTGCAATTTCCTGTTATCTCTCTCCCACCACTGGAATATGAATTCCGCAAGGGCAGTGATCTTCCTTTTGATGGCAACTGTATCCCCACTGCCTAGAACAGTTCCTGGCACATAAAAGCATTCAATACACATTTTATCATCAATGCGTATTAATATATCTCTTAAACTCTCATTCTTTTATCTTTGCTGAATTCAGTTTAATTTCTTACTACCTAGCTTCTAGTTCACAAATTCTCTCAACTTTGTCAAACTTGTGGTTTAACCCCTGACCATTAAGTTTTGAGCATCACTGGCAAAATTTTTCATAGCTGGATCTTATTTTTTGAAATTCAAACCAGTCTTTAATTATGTTATCTTTCCCCAGACATTTCAGTTTCTTTCGTGTTAGTAATTATTTTTAAATGTTTTTCTTTATGCTCCCCATCTAGTAGGTATATTATTGGAAGTTTTGTGCGTGTTTGGGGTTTTTTTGCAAATACATATCAATTTAAATAAGATCCTCTATACACACATGTATTTGCTGCTGAAAGTTCAAACTGTACATCAGAAATTACACTACAAATCAAATTTTTGAAAACCAGGAAATCTACTTAAAGCACCCTGCCCTTAAAGCACTTAAATCATACTTACAGCACCCATAAGCTTGAGCCTTAAACCAGTATAAAAGAAGAGTTATGGTTATAAAGCAGGTTATAGTCACAAATTCTTAGGGAAACCAAAGACATAGACTGGAAATTGGCTTTGTGTGTGTTTAGGAATAGAGGACAAAATAAAGCCAAAAGCAAACTATATCCAGCATTAGATTATTGTAAGTTCTCTCTGCTGCTGCTATTGTTGCTATTTGTTGTTTTCTGTTTTATGGGAAACAGGGGTAGTTTTAAGCCATTTCTTTTATTTTCTTGAGAGATCAACACTACCTTTTAATATTTTTTATATTTTATCCAGAATTATACACAGTTACAGAATTTTCCAGTTAGTTATCCATATTGCTAATAGAAAACCCAGAAATACTAGTTAGAGATCTGTAGTTTATAAAACTATCGAGCAAAACATTCTAGATTTTTAGCTATCCCTCATTAGCTTTAAAAGACAAGAATATACTTCTCAGATTTCCTAATTTCTCACATAAGCCTTTCTAAACATTTGTAAAGCTGTTTAAATTTTCAAATTCTCTTCTTCTGTCTTTGAATATTAATGATTCCTATTTTGAAAACTTTTTCACTTCACCCTGCTCCTCTTAAGTCCTTTCTTCCATCCATCAGAAATTATCTGAGTAACCATTGTGTACCAGGCTCTTTTCAGGGAAGGAGAAACACAGTTTTGAAGAAAATTGCCTAAGTCCATGTTCTCAGACATTTATATCTTAGTGGAGGCAAACATATAAATATATAAAGTGCTCATGAGTGGCATGTGAAAAGTTAAGCAGGATTAACAGGTCAGGAAGCGACAATTGGTTGGGATCACTGCAAAACTGGTTCAAGTGACTACAATTTTACATAAGGTGATCAGTAAATTTTTAGACAAGGTGACATTTGAACACTCTCAAAGGATGGTAGATGGAGCCATGTAGCTACAGGAAGATTAGCATTCCAGGTAGATGGAAGAGCAAGTATTTCTGAGGCAGGAACCTACTTGACTGCTGCAAGAAGGCCAATGTGCCTGCAAAAGGAGGTGTGAGGTGGTAGTAATAGGAAATAAGGTCAGAGGATCTATCTCCCCACATATCTTCCCATGTCATTCAATAAATAGCTATGACCTTCCCAATGTTTCCTGCATTAAATATCTCCCAGGTAAGACCTTAGTGCATGCCCTTGCCATCCTTGTGTTCATTTGAGAGTGGCTTGTACAACACTTCTTGAATGTTTGATGAATTACCTTCTCTGAACATGTTGTCTTGGCCTGCCCCTCATCAAGAACCTAATGGAATTTTTGACCCTGGATTTGGTTTTCTTTAGTATTATTACCTTTAGATGGAATTTCTTTGTGATAAGAAATGAAATTACATTCACACACAAGCTTGACAGATGAGGCCACTTTTTATTATAAGCTTAATTGGCACGAAGTTCACTGAAGATACACTTTACTTTTACATCGGCTTCTAAATAGAAAAATACATTGATGCACAAAAAATATATTTCAATATCAAATTTAAACAAATTATTTCCAAATAGAATACATGTTATTTCAGTGATTAAAGGTGGTTTGTACGTGCACTATATCATGTGTACATATAAACATATGCTATGTTTAAGGCCAGTAGAATCTGTAGCTAATTTGCTCATTTGGTTCTTGAAAACTAAAACAAACTGTCTTCTTTTTGTCTGTATAAATAGACCATATAAAATGTTCCCTGACCTGTATCTGTAAAATTGTGATTTACTCCACTGAAGTTTTAGGGCAGCTTTAGAAGGCACTGCTTGGGACTACGATCCTACCCTTGAAATGTTTGAATCTTCTCCTCACTAGAATACCCAACACAAATGTGTAGAACTTAATGACTTCTTAGGATAGAAAGACATAGATCTCAGTAACCCCACAGCTAAGCCAGGGGTTGGAGGGGTGGGTGTGGCCAAAAAGAAAAAAATAAACAGGGTAAGTGCTCAATAAAAAGTCATTTGAAAATTATCGCATAAAAGTAATTCTTTTCCATCATAGCTGTACTTTCCTAGTTACAGTTCTACCAAACATTTGCTACCACAACATACATTTACTTTTACTTTTTTTAAATTATATGTAGTATTTCTTCCTAAATAACCATTAAGCTCTATGGAAATTTTAATCTACCTTCTTTAAATCCATTCAACAAACAAGAATTTCCCCCCTTTGAACTTTATAAACAACTGTCATGAAGCAGATATTAAAACCACCTTTAATTTGGTATAAAGACACTTTTGCAATGCCACAGAATAGATGAGCTTGGCAAGACCCAGCAAATAAATGCCCCTGATATCAATGAAAAATACAGGCTATAGAAAACTTGATTGTTTTTATATTGAGCTACAATACAAATATAACTGCGTAAATACAAAAATCTATCTTCCACCAAATGGCAAATAGACATTTTATATAATTAAAACTAATTCCTTCAATTCTACCAATGTGAAAAATAAAACAAGTTGTAAATATCAACCATACAGAGCCTGATGGTTAAGACAGAAGATTAGTAGTCACAAGCTAATTAAACTAGAGTCTGACAATGCCAGACCAATATAAATATGAAGAAAAGAAGCTAAATGTTTACTTATCACAAATAACTTCAGCATAAGCACCAGCTATGTTCAAATGTGGCCAACATATTAGCCAAGTATAATTGCACAGATCACAGTGAACTGAAGCCATTAAAAATCTAGGTCCCGTCAATCAACTTTGCAGAGCAAGGGGAACATGGCAGGGAGATAGAAGTCCCACTTAGGTTGCTCATATTACATTAAGCCACCCTGACCCCAACCCTTCTCAATTTCTTTCTGACCAACAAGAGTCACATTGAGTGTATACAATTGGCCAATCCAGTTTATTCAGAGTCTACAAAAATTGTCATAATGTGCCATATATTCATATAAAAGAGAATGCACATATAAACTAATGTACAAGGACATCAAACTGATGTATATATATATTCTTAATTTTCAAGTGGTTTAGATGGCATTTTAAAAGGTCACCAGTTGTACAAGCAGGGTCTTTTAATTTGGATTCAAGGGTGATAGTTTTACAATTTTGTTTAAGATCTAGATTGTGAGTCTCAGGGCCTATCTATATTAAGGCAAGTTACAGTGTTTTCAGACATGCTACATTCTAAACACTCTTCTGTGGCTACAAAATCCTGAATCCTGATGTACTACAGTGGCCTAAGTTTTTCTAAGGCACTTTTGGCTATGTGAAATGTCTTTCCTAACTTTCAGGCTGAATCATATAGAAATATTATGAAGCTGCAGCAAATTAATTTTAAAACTGGATGCTTTATTCTTAGGTCGAATTGGGATGTTAAGAAGAAGTTTGTACAAAATGTCCATTAATCTCTCTTTATGCCATGTATCACCCACAGAGAAGATCACAGACATGGGCCACTGATGTTTTGTGTCAGTTGCTTGACTTCAACAGCCACATGACCCCTTCTCCTTTTCTTCACTCATTTGATCAAGGGAAGTGTGACCGTTGGATCGCACCACTCCTTCAGGAATCCAGGATTTATCCACACACCGTTCCATTCGCTTCATTATTAGATCCAGGAGCATCTCAATTGCTTGGCTTATGTTTGACCCATTGGCAGCGCTAATTTCAAAGTAGGGGATTCTGGAAGAGAGAGACAACTCCGGTAATAACATGTGGAGGGAAAGGTCAGTGATCTTTGCTCTTGATAATTCAACTTAGAAAAAAAGTAGAGTATAAATGTGTAAGACAATAAAACCATTTTCCCATCACGGGACGATTAAAAAGTGAAAAAGTTAAAAAATAATTCACATTGTGCTCCTAATGGAGAGGCAGAACTTTTGGAAATTTTTATTCCCTTTTCATAAATGATTAAACTGAAGCTCAAAAATGTGAAGTAATCTACCCAATTTCATAATGCTGGAGGGTAGCAGAGCCAGTCTGAATCCACAGCTGGATTCCACAGCTGGAATCCACAGTGACCAACTTGACCTCAGACTCTCCTGGTTCCAAGCTTACATGATTTGTATGAGGATTTTCTAAACAGATAAATCTTTTTTTCTTACTGCATATGAAAAAAAAATTGCTGACAGAAGAGAAATTCTAGGTTGCTGCTGTATTTGTCAGCAGCTTTGCCACTTGTAACTTCAGGCCGTATTACTGTGCCATAAACTTGAAGACATTTTGAAATGTATCACATCTCAGAGTTCTTCCAGGACATCAATCTTATATTTGCTTTGTTATCCAAAGACCTGCCATACACATGTAATTTTTTAATAATTTTCAAAGCATTGTTTCAAAACTGTAAGGCGGCTTTTCCATAATCTTGAGAAATCAGTCTTCTTTTGGTGGCCATCCCTTCCTTATACATCTGAGTTAGTCTTTGCAACAGAATTAATCAATGCCAGATTCGTCCTGCTTCTTAATAAAGCCACGAAAGTAGCAATAAAATTGTAATTCCTTAAACTGCTGATTTCATGTCACCATTAAGACATGCGACCAAAATGCTCTTAGATGTAAAAACCACGAAAGACAGTTATTTTAGCAGCTCAGAAAGGGTCGCACCATTGAGTTCTGTAAAATATTCCTTACATTTATAGGGACTTTAAAATCCTACACTATTACATTTCTTGGCAGATGTCTCTGTTTTCCCGTATAAACTACATCAATGATTCTGCTTACAATGGCAGTTACTCTTTTATTCTCCATGGCAAGGAGTGCTTTTTACAGAGTTTTTTATAACTTCTTAACAGACCTTCTCACAAGTGTTTTTGCATTACAAAGAAGCACATTAGGGAGTACATGTATATGGATGAAGACTCTCTATCCATTGTGATTCCTCAAGATGCTGTCTTATTATCCTCACACTTCTCAAACAAGCTATCAGGCATTACAACTGGACCTCTGTGATTCTATCCTGCTTTAGTATGGCTCTTGAAAACTGGTGAAGAAACTATATTTCATTTGAGCATTTATCCACCCATCTGTGAGTTTTACAAGACATGTTGCTCTGCTGATTTTAACATGCCCATGTTCAGAGCCCTTCATATGTTAACTCTAAAGTATCTTAATCAGAGAAGGGTCTACTAGGCAATCTAGGTGATCTTAGCGGTTTTTAAACCTGTTTGGCTACCTGTTTAGTTACTATCAATATTTTCTCCTCCATCTTCATCTGTCACTATATCCACAAAATGAAGATCATGCATCTTACCCACTCCCCTGGTCACAGGCAGCTTTTGATTACCAAATATGAAACATGCATATTCTGTGAGGATTCAGCAAATATCTATTTATTGAATACCTAAGATGTTGTTAAGAACTGTGGATAGTTTGAAATACTGCCACTGTTATAGGAATTGAATGTTGGATTGAGAATTGTCAAAATTTAAATACTTACATTTACTTCATCATCCTTTCTCAATTATATATACCCATGGAAAAGCATTTAATTTCTACAGAACATTTTTTCTCTTTAAAGACTTTATTTATTAAAAATAAATAAATAAATAAAGACTTTATTTATTTATTTTTGTGCAGAAGAGCTGGTATGTAGGCCATAGGTGTGGGGGATGAGAAGATTCACCAGAAATAGAGTGGGTAACAAACTTATCTTTCAATTAAAAGGATATTTTCCTGCCTTGGTGAACCTTCAGGTCATGTGACAAGGAATCAGATTTTTAAAAAATTAAAATTTTTAGGCCAACACTCAGTTTTCTGCACGATCAGGGTAATGTGGTTTTTGTTTCTACAGGAATAAATGAATGCTAGAGTTGACTCCTCTCCACACTCAGTTCTTTGAGTAGCCAGAAGAAAAGTGAATTAGATGGCATCTACATATAAGACCCTAAATTAAGACTTTTGTTGGCATAATAAAATGATGGCCCAGAAACAGAAAAGAGTCTTGTGGTCACATATGAAATTTGATTATTCAGCTTGTCCTGAATGCACCGAGAATCTAGTGGATGGAGTTAGTATATCTTCATGTCCAAATCTTCTAGATATTCACTTTTAAAAGGCATTTGTCCTCTTTATTTGAACATTTCTCCACATCTGTAAACTGGGTATAACTGGCTCATATGATCCTTGTAAGGTGCAAATGAGATAATACACATATATAGCCAAGCCTGGAAACCAACAGGTGTTCAATGAATATTAATCTAATGGTTCTTTTATTCTCTAAAAATGATGTTCTGCTTTTCCTAAAAGTTAGGCAAAAATTTAGTAATCTTACTAAAATTCAAAAGGATTAATTGTCCCCTTATAACCGTAGAGTGGTATTGTTCCTTCTGTCCACATGGTGGTGCTAATGTAGTATTACCACGGAGGAAAATCCTGTGCTGCTAATAGTGACAGCAGTCTGTAAATTACCCCTTAATGGCCATTTGGAATATATGCAGGACACCAACTTTAGTGTACTTTCAAAAAACAAGTCACAAACTTTAAAATAAAATGAGCAAAATGATAAACAGTTTCAATCAATGAAGGGACATTATCACTTGTTTTTTTACCAAAATATGCAACTCATGCCACAAGTCAGAATCCACATCGAACTGGTTTCTTTTCTATTATTTATTTATACAAAATTAGAAGATGCTAGTTTCCAGTTTGAGGTTGCCAGCGATGAAAGCAATAGTATTTAATGATTCTAATAAGTGGTTCTAGCTATTTGGCTCACATGTGGATCCAGACATTACGGAAACATTCTTCACTAAAGAAAGAAATGAGCCTCCTTATTTTTCACAGACTGTTGCATGCTAAATGAATATGCCTTTACTGGAAAAGGAGAGTGTATAACTGCAACCTGGAAGATTGTACCAAATGAAATCAAGATCTTAAAAAAAAAAAAAAAGGAAAGAAAGAAATCAAGATCTCCTGAGTTGTCTGGGACTCTTGAAATCAGTTTGTGTATTTAGTTCTAAATACACAGTCTGTGTATTTAGTCTGTGTATTTAGCAATGTGTGTGGTTTTTAAAAATGTACAATGACACATCATTAATCCATTTTTTTGAATAAAGGAAAGATGTCATCAAGTTAGCAAAGAACCAAATGCCTAGAGATTAACTATTCATACCTCCTTTCTTCCAGTTCAGACTAGATAAGACACTGAGCATACTGCTGAACTAAATAACTTGAAATTCCAGAAATGGTCTGTATTTATATTACTAATGTTGTAAATGAATGTTTTAACTCATCCTTCATCCAGAAACCTCTGAGCACCTTCCTTTATCAATAGCCAGCAGCCTGCAGTATGGAAAAAACCCATCTTACATTCGTTACCCATTTTTCTTGCACAGCCCTTGGAATATGTACATTCATTAGAGTCACAATTTTCTCTATTTCCCTCAATTCTGAATCAAGAATGAAAGGCTTAATGACCACCAATTACCTTCCATGCATAAAGCAGAGTGTGGCAGAACATTTAGGCATGGCCATTTTTACTCACAGAGTGATGTTCTTTACCGCCCACCGTGGCTGGCACTCCCTCAGGACAAATCCCAAGACCCTAACCAGTCTCTATTACAGCAGCTATAATGAACTGTGTAAAAAAAAAAAAAAAAAAAAAAAAAAAAGTATTCCCTATACTTTAGCATGGATTCCCCATTGGTAAGCCATTGAATTCATTTCCCACACCTATTCATGACACAAGTAGACAAATGCTTCACAATCTGCATAGAAATTATTTTGTCCAACTATACTATCAAGGAAAATAGCTGTTGGCAGGTATACCTGGTAACTTGGCATTACATCAGTGTTTCTCAAAGTACTGTCCTCAACCATCAGCAACATCAGGGAATCAGACATGTAAATTTGGGGGTGCCATCCCAGATGCACAATCAGAAACTGTGGAACTCAGCACTCAGGTGATTCTGATACACACTTAAGTTTGATACCCAACAGCATCATCAAAAGTGAGAATGCTGCTAATGTTGCATTCCACTTTCTCTTCTATATCTGTTATGAGTTTGTAGCTATATTAAAAAGTAGCTTAGCACTAGAGTGAACTGTAACTTCTTAGACTGACAGAAATACAAGTGTGAACAAACCTTTCTTTTGCTCGTTCTCTGCCTTTATTGACAATGTTATTCAATGCAACATCCTAGAAAGCAGTATTTTACACTTGTTCTAGAAAAACTTCATTGGTTTACCAAAGAAATCAATGTTGGGTAGGAAGTGACCTAAGAGATTCACGTTACAAATTAATCACTTTTCATAACAAAAAATAAAAAAAGTACAGGGAATTGGGGATGAATGGATTCTTGGTCTACCAGTAATAAACGTACTGATATTTATCATCATGCTCCTAACTCACCCTTATTGCTTTTGTCTTCTGTCAAAATAGAATCCCCATTCTCAGATTTACTTGTCCCAGCACATCAATATTTGTGTGGCAATGTTCTTCATTAAGTCTGCAAAGTTTCTGAGGCAGAAAAATGTCTTTTTCCAAATATCTGTATATTTTAGAGAACCACTTTTGAAACAATAATTCATTTTTATGCTTGATGACAAAAGGGAGTAGGTATTTGACACCTCCCAAAGTCTACATATTAGCGCATTAATTTTTTTGGTTTTGTCTTTTGCATTATCCATTCATGGGCAAATGTTTGTGCTGGAAGTAGTCTCACTATAGTTCTCCACAAAAATACTCACCCATATTTCTCAGCAAGTCCTCTGGCTTCCTCCTCCTTCACTACTCTCTGGTCTTCCAAATCACTCTTATTTCCACATAACACTATGTCTGGATTTTCACAATATGCATGCATCTGCAGCTGACCTATTAAGAAGATAAGAAATCTACTGTAGATAAACAAAAATGTGAGTGTGTGATCACACAATAGCGCTTTGAAACCTGTACATGGATACACAGATATGAGGCAGACCTCTCCTGCCTCGCCCGCTGCTCCCCTCAGCAGTGTATTTCAGTCAGTCTGCCTGTTCTGTTTTCCACTGTCTCTAGTAAATCCTCTCACCACGATCCCCACACCTCTGCCCTGTACCCCAGTTCTAATATGCATAAATAAATAAATCTTTTAAAAATAATACATAAATAATGAAAAGAAATTAAATCATACCTGATGGGGATAACCTAATAGCACCTCAATTAAAAATAAGTAAATAAAAGTTTGAAAATGTAATTAAATCAAACAAAAGTTTCACTAAGCTAAATGGTTTTATCTCCCAGAGAAGGAAAATAAACTTTTATTTCTTAAACATCACATCCTATAGCAAAATTACGGCAGTCTAAACTTTCACAATATGACATACCCCAAAGTTCATGGCCTACTTTTTATTATGGTTAACCAGAAAAGTGTTGACATTTCAGTTCCTCATACTGAAGTTATGTTCATTCTAGTTTCGCAAGTGAGAGTCAAGTTGACAAGAATATAATGAGCATTAACAAAGACCTGATATTCCATGGAGAATTTCAAGACATTGATCTTTTTCTTCAAGGGGCAACTGGGGAACATGACGTATTCAGGGAGGACCAAACTATGTACCAGTCTAATAAAAACCATGCCCTTTCTTCCCTGGAAGCTGTTAAGCTTGCTCTCCTCACATCCTTGAATAACAAACCACAATCTTCTTTCAGGAAGTCCCCGCCCTGCCTTTAAGACCTGCTTCTCAGCTATATCTAGTGTGAAACCGCTCTCATCTCCAGAGTGACTTTGTGTCCTGTTAGTGACTTATATGTACAGCGTTGTGATTGTGAACATGAACTCAATGTGCCTGAGATTAAACCCCTATTCTGCCTTTTATTAGCTGTGTGATCTGTGCCTCAGTTTCCCCATCTGTAACAATAGTATTTACTTCTTTAAAGTATTAAACAGCTCTTCAGTACTTAGTGACCAATTCAGTTTAAAAAGAGCACAATAGGCCGCTGAACTGAAAGCCAAAAGTTCCAGGTCTTTGAATAAATCTCTTTAAGGCTCAGTGTCCTCCTCCTAAAATAAGGACACAATACCCATATGAAACGCTTCACAAGGTGAGTGTAAAGATCATTCAAAGTATGTGAAAACACTTTGAAAGACACAATGCACTACATAATTTATTTTAAAACTGATTTTTCAAACCAAGATTTTCTTTTTTTTTTTAAGATTTATTTATTTATGCATACAAGAGCTGGGGTAAAGGCCAGAGATGTAGGGGGTGAGAGGATCACCAGAGACAGAGTGGGGAACAGAACAGGCAGACTGACTAAAATACACTGCTGAGGGGAGCAGCGGGCAAGACAGGAGAGGTCTGTTTAGCCATGTGGGTTGCTCCCTGGCCAGCTGGGAGATCGAACTCATGCTGCAGAGGCTGCGGATTGCTTCATAGTGCAGTGCTTAACCCCTTGCGCCACCAGGGAGGCCCTAAACCAAGATTTTCTATCTTCAGAACCCCAACCAATTACTCTTTCATAATTTTAAAACACGAAGTAATTTTTTAAGCAGTAGATATTCTTACATGTGTTTTCATTTTAAAGATTTGGATGTTAACAATTTAACACTATAAACTTCCCCAATAGATTCTCTAGGGTCATACTATTACATATAACCAACAGAAGGAAAAGTTCATTTGCAAAGTGCTATCTGGTCAAGCAGAATTTTAAATGGCTTCTAGCCAATTATTCAAGAGAAGAGGAATTCTCGAAAGAGGCAAAATTAAGAGTTATATAAGTTGTGCTAGGAAACACTTTTGCTAATGCAGTTCTAGAATTTTCCATGACAGGATCTGCCTGACAAATGTTTTGGCCCTGAAAGAAGAGGAGGGACCTCTAAGCACAGAGGAGATGTGGAACTAGAAATATGATCCATTAGAGCCTCCAAAAGGTATTTATGTCTATATAACTTATACTTTAGTATCGAGAATGGTGCAGAATAGCACACAATGGTCACACATATATTTAGAGATTGAACTTCTCTAATTCTTCATCTGTTAAATGGGAGTAATAGTCTCCTGTGCAGAAAAAAGACTGATTAAGAGATGACATGGAGGGCCTCCCCGGTGGCGCAGCGGTTGAGCGCTGGGTTGCGAAGCTGCGCGCGGCCTCTGCGGCGCCGGTTCGATCCCCGGCTGCTCCCCGGCCACCAGAGGAGGGTCCCACATGGCGCGCAGACCTCTCCTGCCGCCCGCTGCTCCCCTCAGCAGTGTGCTTCGGTCCTTCTGCCTGCTCTGCTCCCCGCTCTGGCTCTGGTGAATTCTCTCGCCCTCCCGCGCTTCTGACTGTACCCAGTGCATGTATAAACAAAACAAACAAACAAACCAGCAAACAAATAAATAAAGCATGCCTCTATAAAAAAAAAAAAAAAAAAAAAATAGATAAAAAAAAAAAAAGAGATGACATGGAAAGCACTGCCTTCTACCTGGAGTATGGGAAGTACTCCACAAACCAGTTAGTAGTACTAGGAATAACAGAGATTTTAATTAGACTTTACCTCTACTCTAAAAGCCTTACTCCTTTAAACAGCATTTTAAGTGGCACTAGGAACTCCTCCAAAATAACTTACAAGAGAAGTAGAATATGAGAGCATGCTATTGTGGGGAGTAGGAATCAGGAGGTAAAAAACAATAACACTTACTTATCCAGTTTCTCACATTGAGAAAACTTTGCTCATTTGTCAGATCAAAAAGCAGAAGAAACCCCATAGCATCTCTGAAGAACGCTGTTGTCAGACTGCGAAACCTAAGAACATGAAAGCAGACTAGTCACCTAATCCACACTTGAAATACAAAGTTAGTTACCTGCAGTGTCCTGAGTCTCTTACAATACTTCGTTAACAACCAATTAGATGTTTAATAATGTGCCACTACTTCTAATAATTTCTCGTTGTACATACATACTGTAACTCCTAGTTATACAATATTTAGTGAGTTTTGCTATTTTAAGTGATACTTTTAACAGTATAAAATTATGCATAAAACCAATGACATTTGTTATCTTACAAAATATAATAGATATCTAGAACAAGAAAGAATACTTGCAACTTGATCTAGACCTTGTAAAATGCCAACAATTATCAAAGTTATACTTGGAATTTTCTTTTAATAACAATATGTGTAAATGGTTCTTTAATTTAAAGAAAAACAAATTAAATGATACTACAAATAAATGAGACAGTTATCACTCACATAAGTTTAGTTGTTAACAGACCATGTGATTTGAAAACCCAGCCTGCTAGACAGGAATGATAAGAACTAGCTCTTGATCCCTTAGACTCAGCTAAGAATTTATTGTACATGAAGAGTTAAGTAGGCCAAAAGCAATGGCGTTGGCTGTGTATCTTTTCCTTGTCCTATAAAAGCATGGTTGACTTGATGTTACAATGTATTCCATGATTTTTCTAATTTCAGTCTTTGCAGAAATCTCTGGTCTCTAATAGTCATTTGTTGGCTTTAAGGTGGGTGCACTATTGTCTCTCCTCCCTATCTTTCCTGATATTCTCCTTTCCAAGACTGTGTCCTGCTATCTCTACTATTTCTCCCTCTAACCATCAGTTTCCTCTTACTTTGTCTTCATAGTTACAGCCTATGCCTACAAGTACCAGGCATAGGCTCCAGGGAAGAAAATAGCTCGTCTGTGTCATCTAATCTGCTATATCAGGTTTTCTTAAACATTTCTAATCAGTGTTCTTACAAAAAGAATATCTTTCAGAGATACATACCAAAATAGTTATCACTGAAATAATCTGATGCCTGGAATTTGCTTTGAAACAATTTGGGGGGTGGGGTGAGTAGTAGTAAGGCATATATATAAAATAAGACCACTGTAACTGTTGAAATGAATACATGAGTTCATTATATTGCACATTCTACTTTTATATATACTCTAAGTTTTCCATAATAAAAAGTTAATAAAGTCCTTCAAGGAAACTGAAAGAAAACAGAAGCTGTACATAATTAAAAGCAACTTTATATCAAGATTTCATGTGACTTATTTTGGTCAAGCAATCCCTGACCATATCAGTTAATTCTAACCAGATTTTCCACTAGGTTTCAAGAATCAGGTAAAAATAATACATACACCTATAGCTTCCTTTGTGGATGTGTAAATATAGGAAAAGAACATAGAAAAGTACACAAGCCTAAAAAAAAGGAAAATGCAAAAGAGAAGCAAAATGATCCATTTTGAAAAGATTTAATTTTTTTCTTTGACTTGTATGAAATAAAGCCGCTATTATCATGTCTCAAATGATAAAGTTCCTGCTAATTTGGCACCATATCTTATCCTCAGGTGCAAATCAACTAATCAGCTGGCCTTTTCCTGCTCAGGTCACTGTGTTAAAAGTATAGTTGTTGCCTTTTTCCTCCTTACTTTCAGTAAAATATACAAAACTGAACATCTCATACCTCTCCTGCCCTGCTGTGTCCCATAACTGCAGGTGAATTCTCTGGCCTCTGCCAATGGCTCCATCTGGCCCATTAGCTCTGTACACCTGAAAAAGCAAAATGAAAGAGAGAAAAATAAATTCTAAGACTAGTGAGCTCTTCTTACTTTATTGTTTAGTACAACTTCCTAAGCATCTAAATTTCTAAAGAAAATCCCATCTGTAACAGAACTTGTATTTTATTTCAAGTAACTATCTTTGGACAATAAAATAATGTACATCAATAAATATATAGTCATACTTTTAGAAATAAATTGTGAAATATATAAATGTTCCATAATTTACATTAAAAATAATAAGTACCACCCCTTTTCATAAAGTTCCCCCAGGTCACTAGTTTCCAGAAACATCACTATTATATGACTACTCCCCATCCCATGTTTAAAAGTATTCTTAAAGCAATTCTATGGAAAAAACTTTTAGAATGCAGATAGACCTCTGAAAATGTCTTCTTTCATGAAAGCATTGGCAAAAATGTCAAAATCAAATTTTTCAGAGTTTTGAAAATTAATGAAGTCTTAAAATGTTCAAAGACATTTATTCAAGATAAATGTGTTGATACCAGTAAAACACAGTAAGTGTTCTGCTGTTTTAACTTGTCCTATTCCTATAACCGACCACCCAGGAGTAGGCCACCCCTCTCCACAGTAGCCTTTAAAACCAAAAGATGCACAACTTATGGTAGCTGTGAAAACCAACAGCCTAATAACCACTGTAGGAAGTAGAGGCAGAACATGTTTGGAGTCCCCAAAAGTCTCATCTGAAGAGAACTATCTGGAAGCTGCCTGTAAAAGCTCCATTCCCAGGCCTTATCTTTATTTTACCTAACTTGGTTCACAGCTTTCTCTTTGAAATAGACCTACCCAATGGAGCATCTGTTGAAAACAATTAGGTTCAATTATTTAACATCACAATTAACAGAGCAGCAATACCAATTGTGACTAATAGACCAAACAAAAACCCTTAAAAAGAAAAAATATATAATGAGATGTCCACTGGTAGATGTGAAAAGCTCCAAAATATTCCTTGGAATCTACGAGGTCAAGCTCATGTGCTGGACTGTACACATGCTGGGAAAAACCTGAAAAGGTCCTCATCTCTCACCTCTGGCTGACCTTGAGGTTCTCATCAAACACAAAGAGAAGTCTAAGAGTTGTAAATTGCCTGCAAGAGCATTAAGCACATGTCACAATACACCCCCTTCCATACACATACACAGCCCTTCAGAAAAAGCTGGTTCAAGGAATTTAAGAAATCTTTGTAACCACTCATTAACTGACCACTAAGTTTACTGAGCAGCAGCTTCAGTAGCTACACACAACAACAACAAAAGCAGACTCAGATTTAACCCAGGAATGTCACTAAACAAACAGCAATAACAATTACAACAAAATGAACAGCAAAAAAGAATTCTCAGAAAGAAGGAAGAATCTGGATTTCCAGAGTTGCTACAATATATAATTAAAAATGTATAGTTTTCAACAAAATTTATAAGACACACAAAGAAACAGAAAAGTATGGACAATACATAGGGAAAATTGCTAAGGAAGTCCTGATGTTGAACTAACTAGAAAAAGACTTCAAATCAGTTACTGTAACTATGTTGAAAGAACTAAAGGAGAACAAGTCTCTAAAATTAAAGGAAAATATAAGAACAGTATATCATTAAATAAAGGAAACAAAGATGTGTATATTTACAAAAAGAAGTAGAAATTCAGTAGTTAAAAAGCATAATAACTGAAAGGCACTAGTCACTAGAATATTCACTAGTGGGACTCAAGAGCAGTAAGAGAAGAAACAATCAGTGAATGGAAGCACAGTCAGTTGAGATAATTCAATCTAAAGAACAGAAGGGAGAATGAATAATGAATGAGAAAAGTGAAGAATCTCAGAGACTTATGAGAAATTATCAAGTATACCATCATATGCATACTAGGAATCTTATAAAAAGAGAAGAGACAAAGGAGGCAGAAAAAAATGTTTGAAGAGGGCCTCCCTGGGGGCACAAGAGGTTAAGATGCAACCTATGAAGCTATGAGGCTATCCACAGCCAGTGCAGTTTGATCCCTGGCCAGGGAGCAACCCACATGGCGCAGCAGACCTCTCCTACCTTGCCCACTGCTCCCCTCAGCAGTGTACTTCAGTCAATCTGCCTGTTCTGCTCCCCACTCTATTTCTGGTGAATTCTCTCACCACCCACACCTCAGCCCTGTACTCCAGTTCTTGTATGCATAAATAAGTAAATCTTTTTTTAAAAAAGAGTCAAAATGAAGAAATAATAAAAGCAGCCCAAATTTAATGGAAAACATGTGTACACTCAACAAACCTAATGAAATCAAGAAGGATAAACTCACAGAAATATACTATATACATCACCATTACACTGCCAAATCCAAAGATTAAGAGAGTGCCTTAAAAGCAGCAAGTGAGAACACACAAGGGATTCATACACACATACATACATACAAGGGATTCATTACATGCAAGGGATCCCAATGAAACTAACAGCTCTTTGTCATCAGAAATAATGGAGGTCAAAAGACAGCAAGATGACCTAATCAAAGTGTTGAAGAAAAAAAAGACTATCAACTAAGAATTCTACATCCAACACAGCTATTCTTTAAAATTGAAGAAGAGATTAAGACATCTTCAGATACACAAAAATTGAGAATATTCATCATTAGCAGACCTGTGCCACAAGAAATAATAATTACAGTGCTTCAGACTGAGATAAAAGCAGTAATTGGTAAGCAGTAATTCAAATCCACACACAAAAAAGAAAAATCCCAGAAAAGGTAACTACAGAGATAAATATAAAAGAGAGTAGAAACGTATTTTTAACTGTTTTCTCCCAACTGATGAAAAAACACCTGCATAAAGTAATAGTTATTAATCTGTATTGACAGACACACAATTTATAATGATCTAATTATTATGAGAAAAAGATACAAAGAAAGAAAGGAAACAGAGCTATAATAAAGTTTTGTACAGTATTAAATTGGTTTTAATCCAAATTAGATTGTTAAAATTTAAGATAATTAATTTCCAAGAGAACTACTAAATAATAATATAGTAAAATAATGATAAGGGGATTAAAAGACCTAGAAAATATCTATATGATACAAAATTGTTACAAACTTCAGCCCAGTGTTATTAAACAACAACAATGACAACAAAATAAACAGCAATGCTTATGGAGATACAGTGTAATAAAAAAAAGAGAGATGGGACACACACAAAGCAAGTAGCAAAATGGCAGAGACAGTATCTACCATATCAGTAATTAATTTAAGTGTAAATGGAATTAAAATTATGAATGAAAGTCAGAATAAAAAATCATGCTCTAATTATACACTGTCTATAAGAAACACATTTTTCCCATTTTTTAATTGTTTTATGTTAATTTTATTGAGATAATGTGGATTTGCAACACTATATATGATTTAGGAGTATAGGTTCACATCTCTTCAGATTTATGTAACCAACCATATCTATCCCTGAAGCACCCATAATCCTCCACCATAATCTTTAAGTGCCCTCCCCCCACTGCTCTCCACACCTTCTCTTGCCCTCTGCTAGCCTCAATTCAACAAGCAGATTTCTAGGGTTTGTTTTGGTTTAGTTTTGTGTGTTCCTTTCTTTTATAAGAGACATATTTTGGATTCAAAGATGCAAACATATTACTAATAAAAGGATAGAAAATAAGACACCATGAAAATAAAAACCGAGAGCGTGCTAGAGTAGCTGTATTAATATGAAACAAAATAGACTAAGACAAAAATTGTTATTAGAGATGAAGAATTTTTCATCATGATAAAAGGGTCAATCCATCAAGAATATATAGAGATAAGAAGGGAGAAGTGAACAATTCAACAATAATATTTAGAGATTTTAATGTTCACTTTTTCAAGATTGAACAAGTAGGGAAGTAAATAAGAAAAAAGAATATTTGCACAACAAATAAACCAAATAAATATAACAGACATCTGTTGAACACTTCACTCAATAACTACCAAAAAAAAATTCTTATCAGTCACATGAAAAATTCTAAAATATCAACCATATGTTAGGTCATAAAACAAGTCTCAATCAATTTAAAATTCAAATGATATAAAATTTGTTCTCTAACCACAATGGATTAAATTAGAAATCACTAATTGAAAAGAAATTTGGAAAATTCACAGATATGTGGACATTAAATAACATTCTTAAATATCACAGTCTTAAATGGGTCAAAGAAGAAACACAAGAGAAACTAGAAAATACTTTTGGATGAATGAGAACAAAAGCACAACATACAAATTATTGACTGAAGGTAAAGCATGCTCTGAGGGGAAATTATAGAATACCTATATTTTAAAAGAAAATGAGAAATATCTCAATGCAGTAACTTAAACTTCACCCTTAAGAAGTTAGAAAAATAAGAATAAACTAAACGCAAAGGAAACAAAATAAACTAAACAGTTTATGGTAATAAACATTACCATAGAAATAAATACTTTCATTGTTTGGAAAAATTAACAAAATCAATAAACTAACTAGACTGACCACAGATAAAAAAGAGGGTTCAACCCTAAAAATCAAAAATGGAGTATTATTAGTTCATAAAATGGAATGAAATTTTGATACATGACTCAACATGAAAGAACCTTAAATACATGCTAAGTAAAAGAAACCAGATATAAAAGCCCATATATTGTATGAGTCCACTTATATATGTCCAGAATAGACAAACCCATAAAGGGTAGATTAGTGGTTATTAGTGGCTGGGGTGGGGGTGGGGTAGAAATGAGGAATGACAGCTAAAGTATGGGTATCTTTGCATGATGATGAAATATACTAAAATTAGTGGCAAAAGTTACAAACCTGTGAATACATTGACAGCCACTGAATGGTATATTTTGAATGGGTGAATTTTATGTTATGTGATTTCTATCTCAAAAAGCTATTGTATTCAAAGTTTTTAAAATAAGAATTAATAAATATAATTACATACAAACATTGGCTCTACCAATCTTAAGCCATTACTAAAAATTTCAAAAAGATCCTATTTACAGTCATCAGGTCCAAGTTTGCACAAGACTCACCAGCAGTGAAAGAGAAGACCTAGAGCAGAAAGGAAGTAAAAGGCAGAGACTGAATATGCTCCATTAAAGGGCCTTTGTCACTATAATCTCCTGATCACTATTAAACCTGCTTCATGGTACTCCTCCCTTTTTCAACAAAAAAAAAAAGTAGTTCATGGAAAAGGCATCTCTCCTCTGCAATTTTGACATAATGACCTCCTGCCTTTACCTCCACCACCAAAATAGTTTTCAGTCGACAATCTTAAAAAAACAAAGGGCGAGCCTCCTCTCCCCTTCTTTCTGTACAACCTTGCCTGTTCCTTGGTTACTTCCCAGATCATCATGCACTCCAGGCATTCCACACTCCTACTCCAAACTCACCCTGCTGGCAGCAGCGATGAGTTCTGCCAGTTAGTATTCAGTGAGGAATTGCCCAAATTCTAATTTAAGAGAAGAACCATTAAAAATGACATCAAAGGCAAAAGATAGAACCTACAACACAGGGACACAGAGGGGCAGGATGTTTGTAGGTTTCATAACCAAAGTAGACAAATAACTGTAGAGTTCAGAAGGGAAGATAAAGTCAAAAGTGTACAAAGAGAAAATGAAAAAGAATCTTGACTTTTACTTTTTACTGCTTGGTTTTATATGACATGTCCTTCAGAGAGTCTTTTAAATCCCCTTGTCCAGATTGAACAGAATACACTTTTATATGTTCCCTTCAACTGTAGTCTCCAATCTTTGACTTCTATAAAGTAAACTACACAGACTGGCAAATGTTAACTCAGAGGTTACATTTTTATATAGAAAGATATAGAACTTACCACTCTCTTTTCCCTGAAATCAATGCCCACTGTTGTAATAAATTTTGAATTAAATTTTCCATCTGTATACTGGTAGAGTACACTGGTCTTCCCTACTCCAGAATCTCCCAAAGCTAAAAACTTGATGAGGTAATCATAGTCTCCATCAGTCATGATGAAGAGCTCAGTGGTACACCTGCAAAATACAAACAAATAAATAAAATTTATTAGAAAACATTACAATCCTCCATGAATATAGTGACTAGTTTTAACATTCCATTTGGCAGGTACTTCTGTATCTACATGCCTAAGGGTTCTTTGAAGACAGAATTAGGTATTATTCACTGCCCAAGAATCAAAATTTGCTACACAAGATGTTACTGAAATAGTAAAGTTTTAACTAAAGGCAGTTATTGTAGCACTGTTAGGATAAAAATTCCACAAAAAAAGATAATCAAGATGATAATTGTCACCAAATTTTATATAGAGATCACACAGAACAAAAATTAGCAAAAGAAAGAAGGAAGGAGATTGTTACAGAGTAATAATTCTTAGCATGCAAGTGGTTCCAAACCCCTGCTTTTTCAAAGTTTCCTTTTCTCTTTTTTTACTTGAACATCTAGACAATTTCATTTATTCATTTTCACCTGTCATTGTAGTTTCGTCAAAGATAATGCTAAATTCACAGGAAGATTTGCTTGTAGTTTCCTTATACATCATTATTGTTGTTGTTGTTATTTATTGCATATTAAGTCAGACTTTTCTGGACTATTACTGCTCACTCAGGAACTAAGTCCAAATTTGAGCAACCACTGCTCAGAGACCAGAGTTCCACAACTAACAGATCATTTATCTAAATTTGCTAAATTTATTCTAAAAAGCAATGCTTATACTCTTTTTTTAATAGAGATTCAAAAACAAAAGTACACTTTAAAAAGAAAATAATCTTGTTTTTACCAGCAATACCTAACAATGATTTTTTTTTATCCTTTACAATCTGCACTTTTCATGGTTTATTTTTATCCTTCAAGTAGATTCAAATTATTCAAAATACCAATCTGATTGAAAAATGTCACCTATCACTTCTTATTTTCCTATTGCTAATGTTAATAAACCCTCCTGAAATTCAGAAAAATAAGCAGCTATCTCACTACCACTGACAACTTTATTTGTCCATTCAAGCATACAAATGTATTCACCCATCCTCACACACGCTGCTGCCTTGCAATTAGATGCTGCTGATTCTCCTCTCATCATACCCTTTCCCCATTGTCCCACTTCCAGAAACTGTCATAATATTAAATGCTTCCTACAGGATTATTTCCATAGAACCATAAAATTACTAGACTCAGACAAGGTCATTTATTGATTTTCCAGGTTGCCTTTTTCTACTCCATCCTCAATTTGGTGACTCATCTTATGCTCAAAATTCCTGCTGAGTCCCTAAGGCCATTGCAATATACTACCTCAGTGTGCCTTAGTGCATATTTGCAACTTCACATTCAGCATGACTAGACAGTCAATAAGGGCAGAGTCTCTACAGACATTCATAATTGTATTTGCACACTATAAAGACTAACAGGTGTAGGCCACTGTTAGGAACGGCATTCAACAGAATTCTTCTTCAGAAGACGATGACTTATATAAACATAAATATTCTACTATATCACATCATAGCATCTCAATTGGCACAAAGTTATTTAGAAATAAGGGTTAAGAATTGAAAGCAGATCCAGATCATGTTTAATGAGAAAGCAGACTCCAAATTCTGCAATGAGAATGACACAAAAGACATTGTGACTACCTTATTTCCTCCTTATTTTTAATTTGAAAAGATGATCACTTCTGTATTTTTATGTTTTAAGGCACAGGAAGAAATGCTGTCACCAATGATGACATCACTATTCTAGAATTCTCTGAGCATGCGTGAGTGGTATTCAGACAAATAAAACTATCTCTGCTGCACCAAAATTTAACGGGTTTAGTTATCTTGAGAGAGGACTTACATGTGTAAATCCATAAATGACCTTCATGGCTTTTGTCTTCTACTTGTGTTGATAGCAATATATAACATCTTTCTCCCAAACCAGGGTACCATAAAGCAAGTGTTAACAAACCAAATGCCAGAAAGTGTTAACAAACCAATGCCACACAGAGCAGCACCAAAATTAATCACTTTGTACTCTTCCACCGATACCTTTAGACAGTTATCTGTTTCTTGATCTGAAAATAAATGCACAAATCTTTCACCCTCTTGGGTTCGGTTTTCTAAAGAAAGAAACATAACCCAGAGAGGCTAACTGATCTCTGCAGTATAAAGCACAGGTCTCCTAACTCCAAGTCCAATGCCCACTTAACCCCAAACTTTGTGTCCAAACTAGTTTAGAGTGAGAGTTCAATTTAAAAAAGTTCTACTTACAAAACCATCTCTAATGCTCTAAAACCACTTTGGCTAAAATCAGTTATAGCTAACCAAAATTATGTGGGTCTATTTTTAATAACTCACATTTCTTTGGACTGATTTTAACTAGCTCGAATTAGTTCTGACATGGACAAGCAGGTTCTGATTGGCTCAAATAAGGTCTGATGGTTAGAGAATATTTTACTGATTGGTGCTTAACAATTAAATTTATCTCCAACTATGTCATCCTTTAATTTTATTAAAAGGTTTGTATCTAGTTCAAGTCATCTATAACTGATTTATACTGGCTTAGACTGGTTAAAAAAAAAATTGGTTCAAAACACTCCAAACTGACTGATCAAATGGTCAAACAATTCAAAACTAGACACATAAAAGGATCGTCAATTTTGGGGCATTTGGGTTGTTTCCATAATTACCTATTGTAAATAGTGCTGCAATAAACATAGGAGTGCAGGTGTCCTTTTGAATTAATGTTTTTGTGTCCTTTGGGTAAATACCTAGGAGTGGAATTGCTGGATCATATGGAAGCTCCAATTTAAGCAGGCTGAGGAACCTCCACACAGCTTTCCATAGTGGTTGGACCAGTTTACATTCTCAGTAAAAATCAAAATCAACAGGCAACTATAAACCAGAGACACACTACAGCGGGGGAGAAGGGAGTAGGATGAAAACAAGGGGTGGGGGGTAGGAATTTTACGGGGACAATAACTGAGATGAAAATGCATACATGTGCTGGGCCTCCCCAGTGGTGCAGCGGTTGAGCGCTGAGTTGCGAAGCTGCCCGCAGCCTCTGCAGTGCCGGTTCAATCCCTGGCTGCTCCCCCCGCCATTGGAGGAGAGGCGCAGACCTCTCCTGCCACCGGCTGCTCCCCTCAGCAGTGTACTTCGGTCCTTCTGCCTGCTCTGCTCCCCGCTCTGGCTCTGGTGAATTCTCTCACCCTCCCGCGCTTCTGACTGTACCCAGTGCTTGTATAAATAAATACAAAATAAATCTTAAAAAAAAGAAAGAAAATGCATACATGTGCAAAAATGAAAAACTGATGTAAAATAGATACATATATTTTTTAATTTAAAAAAAAAGGATCATCAGAAGCACCAGAGCAATGGTTTGTTGCTTTGCATGTGCACTGAACAAATTTAAATTTTTACTTAGAATTATTGCATTACAGACAATCTATACCCCCAAATTTATTTCTACCACAGTGTCATTCTTAACTTGAGTGGCTCACATGAGTTACAGTAAACAGGGGGGGAGCAAGGAGAACTGTCATAGGAGAATCTGACAATTAAGGAAAGGTGTGAAAAGTGGCTCAGAATTCCTTCCTTGAAAACTCACCCACCTCCCATTTTATCTCAGGCACATTGCAGCAAAACATTAAACCATGTCCCAACAACATAACAGAGATTTTAAATAGGGAAATCTTTAACAAGTTTGGAGGCCATATAGTGTTTTTCTTAAGTTGGTTACAATGACCAGGCTGGTCTAGGCTAGTACAGACCAGAATTCTAAAGAGTAAGGAAGCTGCAAGGAAATAAAAGCATTCAGAAAGCAGGCAGGTCTTCCAAGAGATAGTAGATTTTTCAGGGTTTGAGTTTGGTGTTGATGATGAGTCTCCTTATCTCAGCTTGCAGTCCCATAAATCAAAGCCTGGAGTTAGTGAATGGAATTATTCTGTCTTCCAGCAGAAAATAATCCTAGTCAATAGCAAACTACAACCCCAAAACCACACTACATGGTTGTCTCATCACTGCTCACCATCGCACAGTGAGGACAACTTCATGTTAAGTTCTGACTGCTGGCAGGGCTTCATATAAAACCATTTTTATATGAAAATTATTGTGTTTCTTATTTTTGCTACTTAAGTGTTGAGTGATATTTCTGGGGGCTCTTCTCCAGAAAGAAAACACTCCATTCCCCAAGGATAGAAAAAAAATGTAAATTAAATTTATGTCAACATTTTAGAGCAGAAAGGGAAACATTTGGGGCACCAAAACAACCCTTTGTAGACCCCATTTCCAGCAAATACTCCTGCCTATTGGTGCTTGGGAAACAAGTTCATCAAAGCTTCCTACTTGCTTCCTATTGGCATTGCTCTTACTAAAAATGGGTTAGCAGCCTAGGTCAGAGGTCCATGTGACAAGCACTTTATATGTATTCGAGCAACAAGCCTCATCACAGCCCTAGAGGCAGCTGGCACATACCACAAACACTTCCTCCTTCATAAGGATCTGCATGCCATTGTATTACAGGTGCCACAATGAAGGGACCACTAACTGGGCAGTCTACTCACATGATAGTCTGGCTTCAATTCCAACGTATTTTTGAAAGACAAAAAAAAAAAAAGTGGAAGTGAAGAGCACAGACTCTCAAATTAAATCACCTGCATTTGAATCCAGTCATGTCACTTTAGAAAATTTAATATCTTTTGCCTTGACTTTTTCATCTGTGAAACAAGAATGATTTCCTATTTTACTAGTCCTAACATGAATATACTTTCTTATTTTAACTTCTTTATCACTGAGGTACATCTTACATTTCACATTCTCACAACGCATGTTGTTGAGAATCATGCTGTTCAATCAGGTGCTGCTGGAGATACCATTTTTCATGTGGTCTCTCCTTTCACTGCCATCTTCTTGCAAGGCCAAGAATGCACCTGCGACATAGTTTCGATTTAATGAAGCACAATAGTAAGCCTATCTCAAAGTGCTGTTGTGGGGCCCGAGATATGTACATATAAAGTGCCTGGCACAGAGTCCTATGTAAGTATTAA